CGCCCACCCGCCGGCCCGCCGAAGCAGAGTTACAGGCAGACCTCACCGACTGGCGCCCCCTCCCCAGCTACCGCCCCCAGGAAGCCGGCCGAGGGGAGAGGGCGCGCTCATCCGAGAGGTCTGCCCAGACGCCCACTTGGTGTGATGTGGACAAAGGAGCCGCCCCTCGGGCCGCCCGGGCACAGGCTGCGAGTTTTTTAAACGTGGACAGGAAGGAAGGGAAAGACCCGAGCCGCATGGCACGGCCGTGTGCGGGGCATCTGGCCCCGTGGGGAAAGCAGCCCTCAGTGTGGCCGGGCCTGGCAAGGGGTCGCGGGAAGGCGGGAAGGAGTTGGAGCCAGCAGTGAGGAGGCGCATTCACACACGGGCACGCACACCGCACACGCGCGCACTCACGCCGCACGCGCGCACTCACAGACCGCACACGCGCGTACTCACACCGCACACGCGCGCACTCACAGACCGCACACGCGCGTACTCATACCGCACACGTGCGCACTCACCGCACACGCGCGCACTCACAGACCGCACACGCGCGTACTCACACCGCACACGTGCGCACTCACAGACCGCACACGCGCGTACTCACACCGCACACGTGTGCACTCACCGCACACGCGCGCACTCACACACCGCCCACGGCCGTGCCACGCCGCTCCTCTTTGCCTTTCTTCCTGTCCCTGGGCCAGGACAAAGGCAGAGCTCCCACCGGCCTGGATTTCTGTCGGAGCTGGGGTAACATAACCTGAGTGACCTCTCTGTGCTCTTCCTCTTCTGGCTTCCCCGTGCTTCGTGTTCTGGGGCCGGCTGGGCATGACAGCCCCTTGGCTCCACGCCTGCTGTCCTTGGCCAGGAGACAGGCCCACCCAGAGAAGGGGCAGCAGAGATGCACCTGGGGAAGACACAGGCCACCTCTACTGGCTCTGTGGCTAAAGAAGGTCACGCGGGGGTGTCAAGGGGCCCAGGCTGGCAAGGGAGGTACAACGGGGTGCAACTAGCAGCACCCACCCGCCTGCCTGACAGAGCTGTGCCTGGTCTGTGTGTGTGCCGCAGCGTCCAGGAGGCCTCTGGGTCGCCTGCCTGTGACCCCCACTGCATGAAGGTGCCGCGGCCCTGGGCCTGCTTTCACAGGAAGCTGAGTGAGGCAAACACCAATTTCAGGTGAAGTAAGAGGCCTGTTGTGAACACACTGGGTCTGGATCCCAGCTATCAGCCACATCAGCAGCTGTGTGGCCAGCGAGGCCACCCCGTATCCTCTCGGTGCACCTCCTGGGAGCTAGGCAGGCAGACTTCACCACCCACATCTCACAGGTGAGACCCTGAAGTCCAAGGTCACACAGCAGGTGCTCCTGGAAGGCAGGGTCAGTGAGAGCCGGCGTCAGGGAGGGAGAGCTCAGCAGCTAGGGCTGCCTGAGGCCATGCATGGGATTGCGGGGTCCACTGGGACGACCGGCCCAGGGTGGGTGGGGCTTCCCTGAGCTCTGCTTCGGGTGGGCTAGGGGAGAGAGGGCTGAGGGCTCTGCAAGGGAAGGGTGGACAGCTGCCCAGGAGCGGCCCTCCAAGGGTGGTTCTGACCCCTGGCTGCAGAGCAGATCAGACAACATGCCGGGGACAGGCAGGTTAGGGTTCCTGGGACCACTGTGCTTCTGGGGACAGTGGGTGTGTTTTGTACATTTGGGGTGATGGGGAGCGTCCATGTGTACGCCATGCCCCAGGCACCCAGGTGGTGGGGGTGGTTCACTGCCGTCCATCATGGGGGGTGGATAGGAAGGTGCTGGCTGACCACTGGCCTGGCCGGCCTTCTCCATGCTGACAGCACCCTGACGTGACCGCCAGGCTCAGAAGCAGCTCCAGTGCAAAGCTGGCAAGACCACAGACAACCGGGGGCCCTGTCTGTTCGTCTGTCCATCCAGGCAGGCAGGAGAGGCTGACCTCAGTGAGGCAGGGCCTCTGTTCGGGCAGAGGGGTCACCAAGCGGAGGGTGGGGAGTTCTAGCCTGTGGTGTCCTTGCCCGGGAGGCCTGAGCGCTGTGCTCTGTGGGGCACCCTGGCCAGTGACTAGGTGGGGACATGAGCGGGACGTGGTGGTGGAGGCCGGGTCAGGGCCTGCCTTGTTTGGTTCACACTCAAGTAGGACAGACAACTCCTCCAGCCCCAGGTGC